GCTGCCGGTGCTTGCCGGCGCGCTTGGCCTTGGCCTGGATGCAGCGCTGGTGCAGGGCGAAGGTGTGCTGGCGCTCGAGCTCCAGGCGCTCAGGCGACACGGCCTCGTAGCGGGCCTCGCAGGTGCTGTGGTGGCGCCGGCACAGTTCGATGCGCCGGCGGAGGCGCTCCATGACCGCGCTGTGTCGCGGCAGCGCGAACTCCGCCATGGGGCAGGTGGGCAGCACCATGGGCCGCGGGCTGCACGGGCCGGGCCCGGGGCGGGCCTCTCGGACCGGCTGGCACTGCGGGCTCCGTTCCCCGCCGGCGGCCCGTCCGCCTCACGGCCGCGCCATGACCCCGCGTGCTGCGGAACAGGCTTGCACGCGGCGGCGGGTCTCCCTCCGGCCTCGCTCGGCCCGCTTCGGGCCGGCGCTAGCTGCCCGCTTCAGGCCGAGGCCTGCGCCCGCTGCCCCGGCCCCATTGTTTTCCGCACCGTCGCCGCCGCCATCTTAAAATTGTTTTCAGGGCTTTCGGAAGAGGGCGGAGCCCCGGCAGCCGACCTCGGCGTCAGGGCTGACGAACAGAGACTGTGGCCAATCAGAGGAAGAAGCGCGGGCCGCCCGAGGGGCGGGGAAGAGCACGCCAGAGGTGCGCCGGGGGTTCCAGAGCAGTTTAAAAGGAATTCTCAAGTGAGGGGCGGAGAGAAGACCCTGGGCGGCCCTCAGCCCTGGGCCCCGGGCCAAGTGTGACGGACCCAAGTTGCTGCAGAGCGCCGGCCGGCCAGTCAGGCTCTTCCGGGTGGGCGGGGAAAGCGGGCGGTCGACGCGGGGTACCAGGCCAGATCCTGACACAGGCCTGGCCTTGCAGTTCACCATTTTCTTTCTGCAGCCTTCTGTAACTCAGTCCTGATAAACTGAGCAGCTACACCTTTTTCATGTCAACTGTCTTTGACCGCCGATCACATCCCACCTCGACTGGTCAGAACTACCCGTAAGTGAGCTGGAAATTTTCTCTTGTACCCTACTGAATTACTGGGGCTGTTGGCTTCCACGTACGTTAAAGTTTTCAGTTGTCTGACTACTAAAAAAAATCCTAGCCTGTGAAGGACAGGCTAGCTTCATGCTTAAGTCAAAACCTGCCTCACCACAAGCTTTACACAAAATGTTTTTAAAATACAGGTTAGGTAAAACTGGAATAGCTTAAGAAAACCCACCCAAACACAGTTACTCTGCTACTACAACTAGTAGGCAAAGGTGATGGTAGACTATAAAGGAAAACATTAACAGTGGAGTAGGAAAACTAGGTAGTCCACAGGGCCAAGAGATACCAAGGTATTTATATGGCACCCTAATTGTTAAACAAGAGGTTTCCAAGAAAAGGCTGCACAAAGAGAAGCACAACTGCTGCAAAAAAAAAAAAAAAATCAGTAAGAAAAAAATGAGCCTCAGTCTAATATTACTTGTTCTTGCATAAATGCAGTGAAAACAAAATAAATGCCCATCAAGTTGTGTCCAGGATGCATGGTCACTAGTGCATGGTCCTGCTTTTCACCATTCTTCAAATAATTTTTACACCAGAATTAAAATTTTAAATAAGAAAAACAGTAATAAGGAATACTACATTTTATGTTCTTCTCTTCAATAAGCAATCCAAAAACCCAAAAGTAGACTACTAAACGTTTTGACCTAATTTCCTCAAAAATCCCAGAAATAGGTAAGAATATATAGATTCTGATTCTACAGACTTCCTAATTAAAAAGTCAATGGTTCCTGTCAATCTGCAAAGATATTATCTACAAATTACTCCCTTCCCTTTTCTGAGCTGTTATCATCCTATTATACAACAAAACCTACTGAACCCTAATCCAGCAGGAAAAGGATGCAAAAGCTACCTTAAAATGATTGAAATTAAGTCCAAGTGCTGCAATATATTAAGTATATATTAAGTACATTAAGTCTGTAACAGCTTGGGCATATTAGCAAACTTCCATGTAGTGGTCAATTAAAAGATTAACCCATTGTTGGAAAACAAGAACACAAACTGAAGGTTACTATGAAGAAGTTCAGTCAAAAGGAGACACTTAACACAGGGCTTTAATGTAATACCATTTAGTAATGTGACAATTTGAGAAAAATGGGGAGATTTTGTGGGTAAGAAACTGAGCAACACAACTGATTGAGGAGGGGACATTTTACAACAATGGGACAGGATAACCAGAAAGTAAGATCATAACATAAGTGCCTTTTTGAGAGCTGAACACTGCTGCTGGTCATTAAGTGTCAGACAATCAGGAGGCTGTACACCTTTAAACAAAAACAGTGAAAAAGAACACCAAAAAAAAAGAGATTGTTTTTCTTTTTTGGGGACAAACCTTACCAAATAACTCTGGAAAAACAAGCAAGCAAGCAATTGATTCAAAACACTCCTTCCACAGCTCAGCTGGAATGAAACTGTGCGGCATGAAAAACATCAGAGGAGAATGAATGCAGATTTCTGGAAATGCAATGATGCACACACTTGCTCCAAGGAGAAACCTGCAGACATATTTTCAGGTCTTGCTAAGTTAACTGTTTATTTGCACTCAATACATCTGGGAAAAATCTGCTACACAGCTAAGGTCATTGTGACCACAGACAAGAGATGAAAAGGACAAAGCACTGACGAGCAAGAAAATGCATCCCACCCTCATAAAATTTAAGGGAACCAGTAAAAAACTGAAGATAAACAGATACAGCCTTCATCTTTTATGAATATACTTCCTCCCTATTATCTCCCCAATATAAACACTCTGGAGTGTTTATATATTCAGTGCAAGAACAGTGTCATCGGTACATTTGAAACACCTCTGAAGAAAGAATAAAGCTAAAACATCTAATTCTGAATACATTTCAGTGTGTGTAATAGTGATATTACACTACAATGATGGGGGAGAGGCTCTGATAGCACCCATCTGCATCCCACATGAAAAAACAAAAACCTAAGATCACTTTTTAAAAAATTTTTACAAGCCACACACTAACTAAAAAAATTTTTTTTTAACAGGACTGCTTTATCATGTAATTTAAGACACAAATGTTACATGAACTGCAAATGAAGACAAAAGGTTTAGCAGCTACAAAAATCAGTTAACTCATGCTAATCGTCACTTTTCCCATTTTAGCCTGTGTTCAATTATAGTCAATTCTGAATTGGCTGGCCTCTGGACTGGACTTATTTAGTCTTTACACAGAGGGTAAAAAATGGATCCAAATGAAAGGTAGTCTGTCCTGTACTTTGACCCCTGGAAATGTGTGGGTCTGCTTTTAAAGGAAGAAACATACACATAGTCACAATAAAGCTAAACACTATGCAGAGCTTATAGTTATTTTCAGCATCCAACTGCAAGCTGCACTGTGAAGAAAATGCATAGCAAAGTTTGATAAAGCTCTGGGAGCTGAGGGAAGTAGTAAGAAAAAGTGTCAACGCACTGAAAGAAAAGTGATGAAAACATCAGCATCTACTCTAGCACTAACATGCCCTGCTAGCATTTCTTGAAAAGCTACCTGCTCAAGAAGGTAGGAGCTTATACCCTCCTTGTGTGTGAAATAGGAATGCCCCTTGACACCTGATGCTGCCTCCTCCACTAACTGCACAGCATCTGGGAACTGAGCTGTTTGAGGACAAAATGGAACACACACACTTCATGGTCTAATCAAGAACAAGTTTAAAGTTTTTTCTGTTTTTATGTCTATTTTTCATATAATTTACACAGAACCTTTATATGAATTTGGGTTTCCAGCCAATCTCTCTCCTCTGTTTCCTTAGGAGGACTTAAGTAATGGAAGCAAGCAAAACAAGATTATAACCACAAATGACTGCACTTTAAACATGATTATCAATTTTAAGGGATAGAGACACTTGAAAGTTCTGTAATACCAAACTTAAAAAACAGAATTGGTTATAAAAACTGCAATTTACCCCCCTAGCTTTTCTAACGGCTGATGTTATTTCTGCATGGACAGACTAATATATTAAATTAAGCCAAGATTTTAAAGGTTGGCATAGTTCTAGCTATTTTTAAAAAACAAAGATGTTTAGAAACAAAAAAATACGAGTTAGTTGCTTCATGTTACATTTCACAACCATTATGTTAAATGCGTTCTTTCTACAGAAACAGGGTCCTTAATGTCACAAGTGCAATTATTTACTGCTAGATGTTTAAAATTACACGGGCTAGTGTTCAACTGGAACCTGTTGATGGTGACGATTGGAGGTTTTCTGAGTTTCAACCTAAGGTGTGCCAGGTCCTCTCCTAGGACCATACTTGAAGGGAAAGGGGAGGGAGAGGAAATCACAGATCAAGTTCTTAAGATTGTTTCACTCTCTTCGTGGCTTTCTGTTTCTTGGTGATCTGTTCAAAATTTCATCCTCCTGTTGGTTGAAAAAAAGAAATTCACATAATTAGCATATTTTAAAAATAATATATGCACTAGTTTTCAAGACCAGTCAGGCTGAGGATAACTCATATAAGGAAAACACAAGAAAAACCAAAACAGAAAATGCACGAAAACAATGATCATCTCACAGATAGTGCTAATAGGTGTATTCTAATTTAGTCCTTTTGTTTTCTATAAACAAGTTCTTTATACTTTTCATCCATCCTGACCAAAAATTTTTCTTCAAAAAGACCAGATACTGTGTTTTCACATGTTCTCATTTAAACCTGAGCTTCTGGCCTGAGGGCACATGAGCCCCATTTTGAGCCTAAGAAAGCTAGGATTCATGGGGAGTAAAGACTTTCCAATCAGATCTCCACAGAACATACCAGACTGCAAACCCGAGGCTCTTCCTACTGAAAACAGCAACTCGTAAACTGTACAAGGCAGTTTAGGGAAATATAAAAAAGTCGATCAAATTGAGCCCTACCTGAAAGAACTCTCTGCATTTTAGTTGATACAGATTATATACATGGAAAATACAGGTGAGGACATCAATAGTAGAACTGTGGTAGAAGGAAATGGAAACTGAGTTTTCCAGAAAGGAACAACTCTTGGTAAAGAAAGTATGGATTATTTTCTTTCCATCAGACTTCAAAACGGATCCAGGGCCTCTGTGGTGGCACAGGGGTTAAGTCTCAGCGCTATCAAGCACATTAGCAGCATGGTAACACGAATTAAGATGCCCGACCAGGGAGCTGACCTACATGATGTGGACGACCTCTCCTGTTTCACCTGCTGCTCCCCTCAGCAGTGTATTTCAGTGGGTCTGCCTGCTCTGCTCCCTACTCTTTCTCTGGTGAATCCTCTCACCCACTGCACCACTGGCCTAGAATCCAGCTCTTGTATGCATAAAAAAAAAAAAAAAAAATTAAACAAACAAACAAAAAAGACCAATCCACCCAGAAAAGCCAGACCCACAAGCCCAACACATCCTCCTCCTGCTCAGAGACACATCTTGCCTGTATTATTACAGAAGCCTAATTAATCTTGATTCTCCCTATTCTGTGGAAAACATGGCATACAGCATCATCAGATCCTGTCACTCCAGTATCTCCAAAGCCTGCATATTTGACAAGAACTGGTGCTAGACACTAACAGCATTATTTTTCTCTTTGATGGTTTAATGATTATCTATAAAGCCAATCATAGCTTAGTCTCACCTTCTAGGTTATAGTGCAGAATACAGATTAAAAGAGAAACCAAGCCCATACAATTGCCTAGGTGGCCCCACACACTCAGACGCCTTCCCACTCTTTTATGCTGACTCTTCTCTACTAATCATACTGACTTAGATGACCACTATATATACCTCTGTACCAGCTATTCTCTGCCAAGAATGTTCTTTCTGTGCTTATCTCCATGGCAGAATGTCAACTTAAAAAAACCAATTACCGGCCCTCCCTGGTGGCGCAGCAGGTTAAAGCACTGCACTGAGAAGCTAAAGCCACTTCCGCATGAGTTCGATTCCCGCCTGCCCGGGAGGTGACCACATGGCGTGGCAGACCTCTCCTGACCCGCCCGCTGCTCCCCTCAGCAGTGTACTTCGTCGATCTGCCTGTTCTGCTCCCCACTCTGTCTCTGGTGAAGCCTCTCACCGCCCCGAGCCTCTGGCCTGTACCCCAGCTCTGTATGCATAAATAAATAAATCTTTAAAAAAAAAAAAAAAAAAACCAATTACCTTCTAACATCACAACCAACACTACCTTCAATATTTCCACCACATTCTCCTGTCCTATATTTACTTTTCAGAGTACTGCTTTTTAACATACTGTTTTCACTGACTTCCATTTAATATCTGCTTACTATGTGCTCCTCCCACTACAATTTAAATATAATTCAGTCCCCAAAAGCAACCAATACTCGAAACATAGATGGGCACTGTGTAAACATTTGTTAAATGAATGAATAACTGTGAGCAACACAGGCAAAAATTTTAGAATGTAGTGTTTTGTGCAAGAAATGCCTTAAAAAAAAATTATTTATTTATTTATTTATGCATACGAGAACTGGGATAGAGGCCAGAGATGCAGTGGGTACGAGGATTCACCAGAGTCAGAATGTGGGGCAGAACAGGTGGGCCGGGAGAGGGGTCTGCCATGCCATGTGGGTCAGCTCCCTGGACAAGGATGCAAGTCATGCTGCAGTAGCTACAGATAGCTTCACAGTGCTGTGTTCTAACCCACTGCACCACCTGGGAGGGCCCCCAAGAAACACTTCTGAAGGGGACAATCAGAAAGAAGAGACAGAAATGTTAGTTGCCATCTCTGAAAACATTTAATTAGTATTTCCTGCAACCTTCTACTTATCCCAGAAAAACTATTTCACCACAGAAAAACAGTTTTCAGGTTCTGATCTAATTTCAAAGTACCAAACAAAATAACAACACAGAATTTCACTTTTATACAAAATTGGCTTTGATTTCTTACTGTCATAGCCATTGAACAATACCCTATGAAAATGTTCCTTGCCACTTACTATATACTTAAAATACAAAATATATTTCCCCCTTCTCTTACCTCTGCTTTAGGTTTTCTATCTTCCTCCTCTTGGCTGACAGTGCCACCATCTTCTTCAGCATCACTTTTTTGCTTCTCTTCTAAGAAGAGAATTTAATTTCTTACATTTATTTTTGGTAATCAGACATTCAAAACATAGCTCTAAAGCCTATTTTTATAGTAACTGTCTAGTAAGGGTTTGACAACATCTCAGTCTTGGCACATATACTGACACCTGCTTCTTACCGAGTTTCTCTTCACCATCCTCCTCCTCATCTCCCTTGTCCTTTTCCTCTTCCTTCTCTCCTTCTTCCTTCACATCTGGCTGAGGAGCATCAGTCTTTTTGTACTCCACAGAACTGGACTGTTTCTGAAATATCCCCCCAAAGCACAATTTTGTTTACATTTTTATGTATCACACTATCATGTAATTAGTGATTACCAGTGGGCAAAGCTCTGTAGAGGGGTAGATACTGGAATAGGCACACTGACATGAGTGAGACGTAATTCCTGTTCTGTGAGCTTTCTCTTTAGTGAGTGTGGTTCAAAGGTAGACTGAACAGTAAGAGGAAAGGCAGGAATATGTGGTCAAGGTAACTGAGCACAGACAGAATAGTAGTGATGGTTAGGGCTAGAAAAAGAGATCAGGTTAGAAACTACCTTGAATGAAAAGTGAACTATAATTTTCTTTTAGAAGCCAAGCCCTTAAACAAAATTACCTCTTTTTTTAAACTGCAAGCAACAAAGGCTAACCAAAAATTAAATAAGGTTAAATATTTCACCTACACATGTTTTTTTATTAAGGGCGAAAGGGTATGGAGGTTAGGGGAAAACAGAGGGTAAATCAAAGATCAAGTTATAAAGTATAAGAATAAAAACAGCTATGGCAGGAGGAAACACTAGTTTGTACTCAGGTGGCTTTTATAGCTAAGTTTTTTCCCTCCAGAAAGCTGCTGTTGGTTATTAAGGCTAGTAATATAATGAACTTAGAAATGAGGAGTTACAAATCCTACTCCCAAGTGGGGGCAGTAAATGACCAAAGACTGAGGATTCATAAGTCCATGCCAAATATAGCCCTATAAGAAAACCTTAACATATGAGAGTTCTTCCTAAAAGTGTCTGTCCCTACCCCCACCCAAATATCCATACCTTTCCAGAACAGCAAAACAGGATAACGAGAAACACAGGCAGAGCTACAGTCAAAATGTAGACCACCCAGAGCCAGGGGCGCTCCTCAGCTGCCTCGATCATCTGCCCCACTACCCCAGGCTGAAAAAGCAAGATAAGAACAATTTCAAATTCTTATTTTTCAACACCAAATCAGCACTGCAATGTTCCCACTGCTCGATTACAATATGCTACTACTCTGCATCTTTCTTTTCCAAAAGTTTATCAAGTTAAGATGGTCCTATATAAGAAGGAAGTAAAAAGACTTCAGTTTTCCTCCTCTCCTTCATAGTGTGAAAGCTACTAAAACACATATAACAAGCTCCATTAACCTCAGGAACCAGTGGAGCAAAGAATTTCTTTATCTCATTGTCTCTGGATCTCTAATTCACAGCTTATCACATAATCAATTGTTTGAAAATTCCATAATTTGGTTAAACCAGAAATCAATGTTTAAGAATGCATTAAAATTTTTGTTCAACTAGCAACAACAAATTGTTGGCGAGGATGTGCAGAAAAAGGAACTCTGCTGCACTGCTGGTGGGAATGCAAACTAATACAACCACATGGAAAACTGTTTGGAAGTTTCTCAAACTGCTAAAAATGGAGCTTTCATATGACCCAGCAATCCACTGCTAGGTATCTACCCAAAAGACACAAAAACACTGATTCAAAAAGACACCTGCGCCCCCATGTTTATTTATTGCTGCTTTATTTACAACAGCAAAGACATGGAAACAACCCAAATGCCCAAAAGTAGATGACTGGATTAAAAAGATGTGGTACAGGCCCTCCCTGGTAGTGCAACGAGTTAGGACTCAGCACTGCAAGCTAGTCACAGACACTTCAGTGCGAATTCGATCCCCACCCCAGAGGAGAGCCACATGGCGCTGTAGACCTCTCCTGACCTGCCCGCTGCTCCCCTAAGCAGTGTACTTTGTTGATCTCCCTGTTCTGTGCCCCATTCTGTCTCTGAAGCCTCTCACTGCCCCTGCACCTCTGGCTTGTAACTTCAGTTCTGTATGAATACATAAATAAATCTTTAAAAACAAAAAGATGGAATATTACTCAGCAATTAAAAAAAAAAAGATAAAGTCATGCCCTTTGCAGCAACATGGATGGAGCTGGAAGGGAAATAAGCCAGAAAGAAAAGGGAAAATACCAGATGGTTTCACTCATAGCAGGAGCATAAAGGACCGGGGGTGGGGGGCGGGGAGGGGTAAAAAAAAAAAAATAATGAACAACTACATACCAGAGACATTTTACAGGGTAGAGTGGGGAATGGGATCAAAAATGAGGGGGAGGAGTGGGAAATACACAGGGTGGTTTGGTGATGGGAAGCCCATGGGATTACAAGATGGAAAAAGACAAAATGATATAAAAATAAACTATTATATTAAAAAAATATATTCAATTTAAAAAAATGCTACATAAAACAAATTGAGACTCTAAAGACATTATATTAGACTAGTGAGATCATGTTGAAAACCCCAGTATTTTATCCTTAGCAGACATACAGTCCCACTTTATCATGCTAATGCTCCCAAAAAGAAAGATAGAGCTTTTCACAGAAGTTGAAATTACCTGCAATAACAACATAAACATGTAAGAAATAAGAAAGCACAAACCTCAGCAGCTCCATCAGCAGCTTTCTTCAGACCCCAACCATCATTGGCCCAATCATCAACTACTCTTCTATCGCCACAAATGATGAAGTTGTCGAAAAAAATGTCTGAAGTCATGGACCACAGTTCCAAACCAATAGCACTAAAAGGGGTCATTTTGAAAGGTTCCAAATCTTCAAAGAAATCTGGATTTGGTATTTTCCGTGGTTTCCAGATTCCCTAGGAAAAAAAAAATTTTTTTAATTAATTCAGGTAACAACACAAATTTATGGGGAAGTTACTATGAGATGAACTCTGCAAAACCCATGAAGAAAAGCACTGACTGTGAAACTTAACTGGTAGAAGACCTCACTCTGCTTGCCACATTCCTACAGTCTCCACTTTTATCAACCACTTATGGGCAGCAGGGTGATTTTTTCACTACAGACTTCAGTGGTGATTTACAACATACATAATCGGGTCTCCCTGGTGGCAAAAGGAGTTAAGCCAGTAGGAGTATGAAGCTACTGGCAACCACTGAAGTATCAGTTTAATTCCCAATCAAAAAGGTGACCCACATGGTGTAGCAGATCTCTCCTGTACCTACCATCCACTTCTCCCCTCAACAGTGTATTTAGTCAATGTGCCTGTTCTGCTCCCCACTCTGTCTCTAGTGAATCCTCTCACACATAACCCCCAAATGCACCTGTGGCCTACACCCCAGCTCTTGTATGCATAAGGGTGGGGGGAGGTAAAGAACCTTCAAAACATACATACATACACTTCAACCAGTAATTTCACTTCTAGATAACCACCTACTGAAACAGGTGGTTATTACATATACCCAGACATGTACAGTGTTTACTGCAGTAAAGACCCTAAAAAGCAAAAATGCAATGTACCAAAATGGTCATTTACAGAACAAAAGACAACTTGCTTTTTAAAAAGGCCCAGACAGTCAAAACTGTATTTCAAAACAGCAAAGGCCCATCCTGGTGGCACAATGGGTTGGAATGCAGCACTGCAGGCTAGTCACAGCTGCTTGAGTGCGAGTTCAATCCCCAGCCCTGGAGGTGACCCACATGGCGCAGGAGACCTCTCCTAAGACACTCACTACTACCCTCAGCAGTGTACTTCGTCAATCTGCCTGTTCTGCTTCCCGCTCTGTCTCTGGTGAAGCTTCTCACCACCCCTGCACCTCCCAGTTCTTTATGAATAAATAAATCCTAAAAACAAAACAAAAAACAGGCCCTC